TCACACATAATAGTTATGATGAATATGCAGGTTCTTTCTTTATTTGAGCACATGACCAGTTACTTCAATCATCGGGTAACAGAATTTCCTGCCTATTTCACCATCTGAATTGGTAGCAGCAAAAGGGAGAGCATATAAGTACTAGTAATAGTACTAGGTAAATTTAAAGTTAAATTCAGGCGCATGCAAAAATACATAAAGGAAGAGAGAGACCTGAAAATAGGTTTCAAGCTTCCTCTTCAAGGTTGCATACTCTTGCTTGATTTGTTGGAATGCCCGGATGCATCTACGCAATCAAGATACTAAACTTAGTCTAACTGTGGTCCTTTGAAAAGAATACAATCAATGAGTATCCGTGTGTATATATCTATGTATATGTATGTATAAGAGGTGCAGGGAGACAAGAAAATAGAAAGTACCCTTCGGCATTCTCTTCACTGCAGTATTCCCCAAACGGAGTGCATGCAGTCCTCACCTTTTTAGCACCAATGCTGCAAGTAAATGATGAAGAACATAGAGAATTGACTTTAGAAGCACAATCTTTTTTTTTTTCACAGGAAGGACAGGCTATATTTCCTTCTAACATAACAACATTTTCAGGTAATACTGTTAGCAAGAACCAAGCAAGATGTGATTTTCTTCTAATATACTGTCAATTTGCTTCTCTTTCTTTTTCTAATTTGGTTCACAAGAATTTACCTTGAGCTGCTACCTTTGAACTGATGCATGTAATCGTCCAACCTAGCAAAATTAATAGGCCTACTAGTCCTGCATGGGTGAGTATATATATGTACACAGTAAATACAACAGTAACGTACAAAATAACCAATTAGTGAAGTGGGGTGGTTCTGCTGCTTACAGCGCCTGTTCAATACTCTGGATCAATCTGGCTGAATCACTATAAAATAGTGTAACAACTTCTTCTACAAAATCAGGGTTAGCATCATCCTGTAATTCCTCCAGTTGAATGAACTGTTCGTCAAGGTATCCCTGAAACAACCCATCATTTGTTTACCAATTAAGTAAAAATTATGCCATGGCCCAACAAAAAAAAAAAGAGATAAAATTATGCAGTAATATTTTATGTAGAGGGCACATCTTTTCCCCCCTTTTGTTTTCTCCCATTTTAAAACAAAAGAAATTTTAGTCCAGCGCTTCCTTCCATTGATTAAAGAATGATTCGAGTGCTGAGAGAAGTCGAAAGTAAAAATTCCTTCATCTTCTCAGGTTATACGTTAAAAAGCACTCAATGCTTCTGGGTTCTGAACAGAATCGCAAATGGTCATATGACTCATGGGGGTCTTAAGGTTGACCTGACCTATATACGGACAGCAACAATTTGGCCCAGTGGTCCAACCCATTTTGACAAGCCCAGTCTCATTAAAACTTTTTTGCTTTGAACGCAGATCCGAGACTGTTAGAAATGCTGCAGCACATTTCCATTGCATTGAGACATGTTCTTGAAGATTCTCAAAATCAAAGTTCTGAAGCTAAAGAAATTGCCCACTTGCCCCCTTTTTAAAAAAAATAAAAATAAAAATAAAAATTATATGAAAAGGAAGAAAGCCAAGTAGCCAATTGCATTGAAATTAAAAATTGAAAAGAACCTGATCAAAAAGGGATCTCCTCATGCTGGCAACCTGCTGTTGCAAGTGGTTCCTGTCCATCCTCACCAAAAGTCACAAAATTAGAACAAACAGAAAGATGTCTGGGAAAAGAAAGAGGAAAATAAGGATTGATGGCTTTAGGGGTACTGCTCCACAGCAACCGGCAAGTCAAGGTATTTATACTACGCAGGAGAAGCAGAGAGAAGGAATCAAAGTCGAAAAATCTTACGGCTAGGTGTCAAAATATTATCACATAGGTTACATCCATGTTTTCCTTTCTCTGCTATATTCTGTGTAAAGGTAAATACGTGAAATTAATGAGATATCTTATTCTTATATACATGGATGACTTTCATTGCTCCTTAATTCAAATTACGCGTGTATAAACTATTAACAGAAAAGAGAATGCATATTTAAGGGAAAGATACACATACAATTTCTAGATATAACAACTGCAAATTCTTTTTGAGGGGTTAAATCTGGAAACAACCTGTGGGCATGTGGCAAACAGAAGTAGGCCCGTGAGAACATGTGCCTGATGCCTGGTGCCTGGAGCTCCTGTGACATGCCCCATCTTCCATAAGATAAGAGCAACACCTTGTAACCCAACCCACCTGGAATATATATACGGTGATGAACAATAAGCACTGTAAGTTTTGAATATGAAAAATTAATATAACAAGATATTCTTTTCTATTTCATCACGTATTCCAAACAAAGAGTTTCTAAACAATGCTGTCACTTTGTAGAAGATGGCTCATAGTATATGGTTTTCAGCTCTAAAATACCAGCAATCTCCCAATTGATATCAGTATTATCAAACCACATAGAATAATATAATAACTACTTTCAGATGTTGGAGTTTTTGTCCTGGTTTATGTACCATTCTTTGTATGTTTCCTTACTTTCCATGTTCTAGTTATGCTTCTCAAACTTTTGTATTGGTCATTTGCGTTTATATCAACTAATATAAAATGTTTAGTAAAAACTAACAATCCTCTTACATAGCTACAGTTGTCAAGTACCTGCCAGTATTATCTTGAGCAAAATATCTTAACTTGCATAGGCATTTAATGAAGAAATGGCATAATCGAAATTGTAGATTTTATGTAAGCACTGGCAGAAGTAGGTAGGTTATCGCAATCCAGAGTTTTATAGTTACTTATGCAAAGTTCTTTGGGAAACAACCATTTACTGGAGAATGCTGAAAGCAGACTAAGAAGAGTCATAATATAACCAAAAGCAGAAAATATAAGATAATGTGCAAATGATTGGAATGAGAGATTAACTTTACAGCAGTCCTTGTCATACATTTCTGTCCAAGCACTCAGCGACTGTCAGCCAAAAAGTTAGAGGAGATGGAGGGTTTCAGAAAAGATACCCCTTTATTCCTATGCTACCTATCAAAGAGAGTGGGGAGAAAGGGGTTAAAAGGGGATTTTACATGGTCAATTATGCAGAAGGGGATCCAGTGATTGACCTCTCACTGTTTCCTTCGAATGTCTTTTCTAGATGCCCAATTATGCCTCCTTTGCAAAAGGAGAGGGGGTCTATGGCTGGAATAGGATGAGAATATGAATTGCTGATTTTTTACTTCAATCTGGATGCATTCTTATTCTCTCTTGCAATCACTGTCACCTACCTTTGATAAGAATCCAAGTTCCAACCATGGACTTGATAAATGAAACAGTGGATTTCTCCACAATAACACAAGCTTCTAGTAAAGCATTGTCCAGACATCCAAATCTCAAAGTTTGCCAGCCCCAGTGATGAAAGTTTAATTAGACAATTCCTTCTTTGAATATAGATCTAAGTTGTCCAACTAAGCCTACAGTTATTTGCACAACCATCATAATCAATTTATCCATCCAGAGCATTTAAATCTAACACCAAGAACCATTAAGTATGTAATTCATTGGTTTCAGTAGATTTCCTTGGTGATAGTATGCTTGTATTGCAGTAAAAAGGATAAACTTAGTTCACAAATATTTATGCATAAGCGAATCTTCTTATACCAGAAGGCTCCACTTGTACAACTAATGAAATTCAAGAAAAAGACAGTAAATAACCAATTCCAATGAACATTAAAGAAAATGAAAGTGCACCTGTCTGAAGAGGAGAAATGTAGCCAACTCCACCAAAGAAATTGTGGGCCTTACTCTTTCATTTATCCAGACTATTGGTTTTTCCATATACTCCAAAAATACTGTGGGCAATGATGAATCATCAAAATCAAGGTATGCAAGCATATCATCTCACATAAATTTCCCCTGTTATAATTGATTCTGCTCATCTCTGCAAGAATCCCATAGCCTGATAGACATTATCAAGAGTAGTATCAGCTATAGCTGCAGCTTTTGTGGCACCTTCTGCCAAGACTCCATCCAAATAAGCTGGATCAGATATTATTTCCTCCGAGTGAACCTAAAAAAGCAAAAAGCCTAATTGATGATGGAGACACCAAATCAATAAGAATTGAACATTGACAGTGGGAGGCAAATTGACCGCTCTCCAATAATTATTAGAAAAGCAGTTAGCAAAAAGTTGTAGAAATTGGCAAGATGATTGGACAAGAAGTATAGTAGAAATAAGGAACAACCATAATAACACCAAAATATCTGCAGTCACACACAAATAATTCTCAGAAAAAGAAGGGAAAAGAAGATATGCACCCATCACTTTCAAAAATGGAATCTAACCAAACATTAACACAGCATGTATTGTCACATCCAACCTTCAGTAAGCACTAATTTTGTGACTGGTGTTCACAGTTCACACAATGTGTATGACAGGGAACAGGCAAATTTTATGCTAATTAGGCTTCAGTAAGGAGTTTCAAAGCCTTTCTCATAGAAGTATTTGTTTGGAGCAAGGATTGAATGGCCAGCACAAACTAGATTCAAGTACATTAGCAATGCTTGAATGACTCATATGTCAACATTAGGTGTGTATAAAGGGAAGTTTATTCCCTGATATGTGTGGGCTGATCGATTTTTTAGTCCATATTTAAGATTATAAGTCTTAAGTTTGCATGCATCTACACAACCAAACATTAATAAAACATCAAACTCCCCTCAAGGAGATCAAATGAACAAATTCAACAGAAATAAGTTTGAATGTAAATCAGTATAGCCTGTATGAATTTCCTATCCTGTATTGTAAACTTCTTTAGAGAGAAAGGAAATTGGAAAAGAAAAGAACACCAAATTCAAAAGTAGAACCAGCATGGGATGCAAATGATCAACCAAGGCATCCGCAAGAAGGGTTTTAAAAGTGCCCCAGTTCATATCTTGGCTTTCCTGTGCAATTTCCTGCAAGGAAAAATATATTTACAAGCCAAATATTAAGTGTTGAATATTTAAAAGGTAAGCATGGAAAGCTAATAGAACATACTAGCTTAAACAACTCTAGGATAATAATTGCAAATTGTTACAGGATAATAGGGATAATAAAATGAAAACAGAAATTTCTTACCAAACAAAATTGAATTATAGGGGAGGAAAAAATGGAAAGTGACATCCAGAAGATTTGAACACAAACCCTCACAAACTTACATTAAGTCTTTTTGCCACTTGGACTACAGCACCTCTGGCAACAAAATTCAATTATAACCCAAAAGAAAGTGAAAAAAGACATACCAATGCATTTCTTAAAACACCACCACCTTGTGGTAGACATAATAAGTTACCAGGTGACATCTAATGTATCACTTATTAGTAAAAATCTTGCAAAAGTATGTGTGGCCACTCTTAAGTGCCATTTCAATGTGGAGTTATTGTAGCTCAGAACATCCTCAGGGCCATTCCAAGTTTCCTCTAAGCAAAATTCAGGACCAAAAAACTTTATCCCAACATTTACTGTTAGCTTAAGAGTTGAAACTTGAAAGTACTTGTAGGCTGGTGTATTTTGACTAAAACCAGACTACCTTGAAGAAGAACAAACAGGCATGTGTCAAATGTTTTACACCTCCCATGCACACACAAAATATCACAAGAATGAAACAAGCACAAAGCAAGGTGTTAAAAAGCAAAGTACAGAAAAAATGTCAACTTCACCTCTTTTGTCTTGCTTGAAATGAGCTGATATATTGAAAGAAGATTGTTGCACTCAGGGTGTTCAGGACTGTCAAATTCTAGGCTGTAAGCAGAAATATCAGAACCAAAATGAAACGATACTTGTAACTGTTCTCATTAGGAACCACTGTTTATAATAAAAAGGAATACATAATAAGGGAGAGGAAAAGTTTAAATAGCTGGATGGACAAAAAACTAACCCTGGAAATGAGTCAGCCTTGCAGCACTTTATCTTTTCTGCTAACACCTACAAAAACAGTTAAAAGGGAGAAGGGGGGCAGGGGGGGAATGAAAAAATGAATATGAGAATAATTTAGAAAAGGGGGGGAAAAGAATAAAAGAATATGAGAATAATTTAGATCAAACCAAGATGAGATAGAAACTGAAGTTTTGCACTTTCATTGCTAAGTAAAAACCATTGCACCATAAGTACAGCCTATATGAAAGTAGTATAATCATTATCTTAATACTTAATAGAATAACCTGCACATGGAATTAACACTTACATAATACAAAGTAAATTTATAACACACAAATTACAAAAAATTACATACTTTTATTAAGAAAGAAAGAAAGACATGGAAAGGCAGATATTGATAACTACTCACATCTTTTGTGTCAAGAAGATTGATTTGAGACCGATCAGAAGGTGCAGACTTGGACATCTATAAGACTGAATGCCAGATCAGTTAGTATGATGTTTGATGGCATATTGAAATTTACTATTTACTGGCTCTTTACCTACCATAATTCAAAACCTATAATGACTTAAGCTTCATCTGACAATGCTCAACACAACACCTTATCTAAAAATGTAAATTTATTATTCTTAAATAATTTTAATTAAATTATATATATATGTTTACTAATTTCAATTAATATTTTATATATTTTTGAGATAGTAAAAGATAAAGAAACCTATGGCACTGACAAACAAAGCCTTAGCATTCAAGTGTTATACAAAATCTTCATTTTCTCTCCACTCAATTTAAAGTCAAGGAAATTTTAATCTACATGGAAGAAATTTTCCTTTTTACATTAAAGTAACAAGGATGAATAGATGCCCTTGATGGCTCACAGCATAGAGTCATCAAAGATAATTTAGATAAAGGATTTTTCCAATAAATGACTGACTATTTAAGCTTTGGCAATAAGCAGTTTGAGACCCCCTAATCAATACTCAGAAAAAGAAAATGTGGAAACAAGTCTTGTGACAAGGAAAGAGTTACCACAAATATTTAATTTTATGGCCAAAATCACCTTGTATTTTTTGTTCTAAATGCTTTCAACTGTTAAGAGGATCTAAGGCATACCCATTACATCAATGACACTGGGAAAATAGCAGAATGGAAGTAACAAAGTAATCCAACCCTTAGTTCCCGACATAACAACAATGTCAAGCAAACCTTAAAGACAAACTTGTTTAATAAAATAGGTGGACATAAACTGATGATTACCTTGGAAAGACCATCTGTGAGGGACATAATTTGTGCTCCAGCTGGAGGAATTAGGGGCTCTGGAACCTGTATCAAGGACCACAGTAAGCAAAGAACATTCCATCATGTATGATGATTCATAACCTTCAATGAAGGCTGTAGCCACAAGAAAGAAAAGCCACATTAAAAATAACACCACCTGACCTGTGATCAAAATAAAAATTATTAACATCAAATCTTTAGTGAAGATTACATAAAATTAATAACATTTGGTTAAGGTGAGTAAGAGAAAGATTACACAAAAATAGTAAAAGTTCAAATATGATTGGAAATTTACCTTCCAAAATATTGTAGAGATAATATATCAAGTTCAATAACAAATCAAGTCACTGCCACTTTTATATATTTATAAGTCATGCAAAAACAGATTTAAAGAAGAAAGGAGACTAAGGAAAATATAAGAACATTTTAAAAGAACAGTTTTCACATCAAAACATAATTTCTTCTCCCCCTCCCAATTTTTTTCTCTTTCCTTCTTCCATACAAATTATTAACATGTGAAGCCAGTTCATGTGTCAACACTAGGTGCTGCTTCTAATCCTCAGCAACAGGGACAAAGTCTGACTGTAGAGACATGCTTCCAAGTGTAAGAACTATGTACTTTTAAGTGTAGTTTATCAAACTATTGTAAACTGTGGCAAATGTTTATAAGAATATATCGAATATCAAGGCTGTTAACATAAAATAATCAAACAATAGAAAAGGGTACGAGCAGAAGATAAAATAGATTTTTCTGGCACAAATGTTTCATCTCCTATAAAACACAACAAACTGCAAGTTTCCAAAAATACCTGATATAAAGGAATATCAGAAGCCATGAGAACAGGATAGGTTAAGAGACATCGGAAAATGTTAAAGAAATTCAAGCATCTTGTATTTGTAATCAGAAATGATTAGAAATGCACAACCAGCTCGTAAACTTAATTTTGAGAGATCCAAGCAGGTATATCACCTGAATCACATGTGTTCTTGATGAAGATTGCTATTCTAGTTATTCACAGGCATCAAAAAAAAAAAAAAAAGGGAGAAGCAAATTGGCTTCATGGATTGTTTGTTGATATGAAAATAGCATTGTATCTGCTCAAACGTTTGGCACCAAAATGTAGGGATAGAGTTGAAAACAACCTGAAGTGCAATCCAATTCTTTATGGCACCAAGATAATTCCCGAGGCGGATAGATCCTGTTGACTCCACACCAGACACCATCCTCTTCCTGCATATGATGGCAAACTTGTCGACTGAAAGCATTACATACAGTTTCTTTTAGCAATTTTTAATTCGATTTGACGAACTAAACTATCTGCAGTTCCTACAGTAGCAGTTCCTTCTGCTAAAAAAATGAATTAAATGATAATAAAAATATAAAATCAAGATTACTTGACTGAGCTCGATGGAGTCTCCGGAGCAGCGGTTTCTGAGAGCAAGAGGCTGCAGCAGCAACCAAAAATGGAGGCAATGTCTCCATGAGTAGAACGATTTCGATGGATTAAACGATGCCTTTTGGAGTGTTTGCTTACAAAACCGCCATGGTTACTGATTTGAATGCAACCATAATGTCAAGATATAGGGAGTTTTGTTCTAGCAAAACTTGGAATAACAGAGAAACAGAGGAAATGGGAGGAGACGAGATGGAGAGGGTGAGAAAGTGAGAGGGAGAATCGTACGACCCATCTCGCGCTGTGTTGCTGTTACTGCTGCTTTGATGATTTTAAATTTGTGGTTTCCGTGTGCAACTGCAAAGAGTTGTATTGTATCCATCCGGCAAATTAGAAAGGAAATGTCACCGTTTTGGTCCTCAAACTTGCGGTTAAATTCAAATTAAAGTTTTAAAGTATTTGAGTTCTTAATTTAGACCACAACTTTTTTTGAAACACATCAAAAATATCAAAATAACAGGTTCTTTGTGTGATGGTCGGAATCGAAACATTCTGTTACTTAAGTGAGAATACTATTGACACATATTGTATTTAATACTTAACTTTTTTTTTCCCTATTAATTATTAAAAATATATAATAATTGTAATGAATAATTACCTTTGTTAAAAAAAATCAAAATAAGAGATACCATTTCTACAAAATGTTTGATATGGTGAGGTGAAATTATTAATTTAGTGACTTTACAAAAGATCCAGCAAATAGAAATAAGAGAAATTGCAATTAAAATAAGTTATGTAATTAAATATATGTAATTAAATATTTACGATGAAATATGTAATTAACTCCTTATATACCAGAAAAAATATATAAGATACCCAAAACAATTGTTTACACGTTTCAAATGTGGATCATAATGCCCTGACAATTGAAATACATCTGGTTGTTATTGCTACGGTTCCTTTCAATTCAACTACTTTGGGTTGTAAAAATCATCATTCTTACAAGATTATTTAAAAAACAAATGGAAAAGAAAAGAAAAACGATACATGACCCAATTAGATAACTCAAGTTACTCAACAGCAAAGGGGATTGATGCTGTGGAAAAAAAAAATACAATCAAATAAACAAACATGATGATTGAAGAATCGTAGTAACATAAGGCTTGGTAATTGTAGTTTGTAGGGTTATAAGATGTAACACATCATATGAGTTCAACGATAGGTTCGGTAGATTGGGCTGTACATGCTGCTTTCCGCACATTTAACGAGATCATCAGGTTGCGGTAGACGAGAAGCCAAACCTAGGAGCAATTGAAATGTAAATGCAATTTAGAGGACAGCGCTTTTAGGAGCATGACATTGTTGGTATGAAGCAACTGACTACGTATCAGGAACTCACCTAGTTCATATGCCTTGGCAGCAACCTTAGCAGCAATATGAGCTGATATCTTTCTGATGTTGGAGAATGGAGGGTAAATCAATCCCTTATCAAAGTTTTCTTGTGTCACTTGTTCAGCCAAAGCTTCCGCTGTCGTGAGTTAAAAAGAGGAAGCTGTTAGTTCAAGTTCTTGCATGGTTTTACAATTCAAAAGGGTATCGTATGAAGGATTTCCACAGATGCTGCGACCTTGGCAGGTTTAGCTGTGGATGTTGAAAGTAGTGGATTTGATAAAAAAAAATTCATGGAGTAGATGCGTCTAAGATGTAAGAATGTGATTTTCTGCACTTACAGGCAGCCAAAAGCATGTCATCATGAACACGTATTGCGCCAGAGATAATCACACCCAAACCAAATCCTGGGAATATGTAGGCATTGTTGGCCTGAATGATAGGAAGTAAGCAGGCATGGGATATGTCAAATTTTTGTTCAACAAACTAAATTCCAAAGTTTAAGATGATTCAGGAAAAGAATGAACCTGGCCGGGCACATTAAGTTTCCCGTTATATTCAACAGGATCGAAAGGGCTTCCACTGGCGAAGATTGCTCGACCCTGCAGAATAAGAAGGATAAAGACGAAGACATGTTATAACATATCCCTGAAAGAGTCTTTTTACTTCTTTTCTAGTTTGGTAAATAAAGATTCTTTGTACTTATTTGTTAAGTACCTTAGTCCATGTATATGCTTCTTCAGCTGTACATTCAGCTTGTGAGGTAGGGTTGGATAGAGCCATAATAAGAGGTTTCTGCATATCAAAAATTAAGATCAAGATGAAAACCTTAAAGGAAATAATATTCATATAACAGAGAAAGAAAGAGAGAGGACCTCATTCAAGGCTGCCATGGCCTCAACCACCGCCTTTGTGAATGTTTTTCCTACTCCAGATGTTCCTATCAGGATAGTTGGCTTGATTGCCTGATAATAATCAAAAGCACAAAGGTAAGATGACATGCAGAAAAAACCTCTGAAATGATTCTTAGACAGTATTGGTGGATGATTCAAGATGATTTTCTTACATTCACAGCATCTACAAGTTCCTTCACAGGTTCATGCTCATGGGCCCAAGGCTGCTTGAAGTGTTGGAGTGACCCGTTGCGAGAGCTAACAATCAATCCCTGGCAGTGGCACCAAGTTCAAAAGTCATCAGAAATGGAAAAGAAAATAGAGAAGATAGAATGCAACAAACATTTAACAATGTACAGAGGAATAAAGAAAACCAATTTTATGTACTACCTTGGAGTCTACAAGCCAAATCTTCTTTCGTGACTCTTTCAATGGAGCATTTGTCTGCCAAGAACACAGCCCATGTTAAATTACAAAGCTCCTAGAGAGGAAAAATAAAAATAATCGGCATTCACAGGGAGAAAATTTAAAAGAGGAAATTCCATTACGTATTACCTGCTTTGATATCTCAAGAGCTATAAGCTCCGCTATTCCAGTTCCAGCCTTCAAAAACAAGAAAGAAAAAAGATGAGATGCTAAAACATTCCACTGAGATTTGACATGAAGACATGTAACTATATAATCCTTTTAATAATGAGGATTGAGGATTGAGGAGATAATGGGGTTTAAAGGGGGGAATGTCAGGACATTAATAAGCTGAATAATCTTTAACATGGCTTCTCTAGAAAGGGTTAGTTCCCACTGCAAAGAACATTCTTAACAATTGACAAAGTTTGATAAACAAGATAAGAACTAGAAGAGTGGACAAACATTACGCCTCCTCATAACATTAGAGGGCACTACAAACATGACAGAGACTATTGGGAGCATTAATAGACTGAATAATGGGATCATTGATAGACCGAATAGAGGAGACAGTAATAAGTGCTTCTAAACTCAATTTGCATTCAGAATAGACCATATGAACATTTTAGTGGTGAAAGATAGATAGTAATTAAGGCATTCAGATTAATGGTAATGAAGCCTAACCTCTCCAGCACCCAGGAATAAGAATGTATGGTCAGCAAGAGTTCCACCGAGTAATTTCAAGGATGCAATAAGTCCTGCTAGCACCACAGAAGCTGTACCCTGAAATTTTTAAAAGTCTTAACAGTTAGAGAAAATGTCACTTAACAAGAAAGTTAGAAACAAGTCCTTTTTAATTTTACCTGAATCTTACCTGTATATCATCATTGAAAACAAGATGAGTTGAACTGTATTTTGCCAACAGATCAAATGCATTGTGGTTTGCAAAATCTTCAAACTGGAAATCATATTTGTACAAGTTAGTCAAGAGAATCATGCAAAACACAGATAACAAGGTTGATAACACGTATGCACTGACAATCACCTGTATAAGGACTTTCTCCCCATAGTTCTGCTTCACTGCAGTCATGAACTCCTGAAGAAATTCAGAGTATTCCTAAACACAGAAATAAAGACTTCCTTAATTAATATTCCAGAAAAGTAAATCCTATTTGCAATATAGAAAATTGTGACTGGATGAGTATGCACAAAGAAAATCATCAAACCTGGCCGGTTGCCCTCCTTTGTCTAAGTCCAATATAGAACTCATCGTCTAACAATTTCTGATTGTTTGTGCCAACATCAAGAGTAATTGGTAAGCACTGCAAATATGAATACATTATTAAATATAAAGGAGCATCTCCTATGCAATTAGCAAACAGTTTCAGTATTAGTGAAACCCAAATTTTAGGGGAAAGCTCATTGATTGAGAGAGATGATAAAGTGGAAATAGATAGCAGATCAATCTGTAAAAAAATAAGTACTGATCAGAGTAATACTTACCGCTGAGGGACGGACTCCTCCAAGAGCTGTATACAGAGAAAGTTTTCCTACAGGTATACCCATTCCCTGAAATTATTTACAACAATAAAACCATTTTAAGTGATATGAGAAAGATATGGGAATCATTATTCAAACAAAACTGAAATATGAATTCTATTACCTGGCAACCAAGATCACCAAGCCCCAAAATACGCTCACCATCAGTAACAACAATGACTTGAATACTTCTCTCTGGCCAATTCTTCAATACTTCAAGAATTTTTCCCCTAAAAAAAGGTAAATTTTTCTTAAAGTGAGAAACCATTTTGAATGCTACACGACAAAGAAGTATAGAAACTGGACAGATCAAATTCTCATACTTGTCTTTCAAGCTAATGTAAAGACCCTGAGGGCGCCTGTAAATGCTCCCATATTTTTGGCAAGCCTCACCAACAGTAGGAGTGTACACCACTGGAAGCAACTCCTCCACATTATCCATGAGAAGCTTGTAGAAGAGTCGTTCATTCCTCTCCTGTAAATTGCAATAGAATCAACATTTAGAGGTTTAGTAACAGTTAATTAAACTATGATTTTGTGAGTCAGGGTTTTTAGCAAATAACAACATGCCTAACTGAAAACTTGGGAATTCTTATCATGCTGCCTGTCATTTTCCCCAAAAAAGCAGTAATAGCGAAAAGGAAAAGAACTAAGTAAGCAAAGGCTAAGCATGCACTCAGCCTGAAACAAATAAATATATGCACGCACCTGAAGATCCATCATGGCCATGTATCGTTGCAAAGGAACCTGATATTGGCGAAGGGTGTTCATCAACTTCTTCTCCTGAAATCCAATCAAACTACATAAATATATGTAAAAAATTTTGGATGAAAGGAATCCAGAACAGAGGAAAGCAAACCTGAAGCTCCTGGCTCAGGACAACTGGGGGCAAAAGGCCACGCAAGTAGTGTGCATCTCTCTCTTTCTCAGTGAAGGCAAGTCCTTTGTTGTGACGCGGGTCACGCAACAGTGAATAGCCACTGTAACATCAATAATACAGTTCTAATCACAGTGGTAGCAAAAGGAATAAATATGCAAAGATCTAGTTGAAACATCATAGGATTAAGTAAAAATCAGTAATTTGAAAGATAAACTTCTAGCAAAATCGCCAAGTTCTTAGAATCACAAGCTGGCTGAGAGACAGCTTAACTGCTAAAAAAAAAAAGGGAAAGAAACAAAACCAAACAGGAAAAAAGATTGAAAATTGAAGAGAATAACGTTGCTATTGTTGCATAAATCTGAGAACTTCACCTAGAAACAGAGACAGTCCAAGAAGTGACGGGCTGATCCAACGTGGCACTGTCTTCACCGTACATGTCCTTCACACCTCCATCAACAGCAACCCTTTTGTCAACTGAATCACCACCGTTCATCATTGTTCTTCCGGCAAAGTTCTCACCTTTGTCCTTCCTCTGCAGATATCAGAAAGCTGAAAAATGCAGAAAAAACAGAGTTCCCAGAAAGCAGGAAGGATCAAGGAAGAGATTGTTGTGAGTTGTGCTTGTGTTGCGCCAACAAAACCTTCGTTTTTTTTTTTATAGTAACACGAACCTAAAAATAAAAATAAAAATACAAATAAAAAAGAAAGAAAGAAAAATGAATTTAGAAACAAACCTAAGTGGCCGGAGTCTGAAATTCTGAATGTCAAAATATAATTTAAAATATGAACCTCTCACGTGCAAAACAAGAAATATACATTTTGCCTTCGAGGCATGAACGATGGCATCTTTGCAGTAAGAATGGTAATGATACCTAGAGAA